TGTACACTATTTACCTTATTCCGACCATTGTCCTCATGTTTATCGCCATATTTATTACAACGTTTCGACCTTGCAGTATCTGTCTATATTTCTGAGATGAGGTATTATGTACACTATTTACATTATTCCGACCATTGTCCTCATGTTTATCGCCATATTTATTACAACGTTTCGACCTTGCAGTATCTGTCTATATTTCTGAGATGAGATATTATGTACACTATTTACATTATTCCGACGATTGTCCTCATCTTTATCGCCATATTTATTACGTTCGACCTTTCAGTATCTGTCTATATTTCTGAGATGAGGTATTATGTACAATATTTAGATTAATCGGACTATTGCCCTCATCTTTGTCGCCATATTTATTACTACGTTTCGGTCGTTGTACGCCCCGGCCTTCTTCAGGTTGTTGGAAGGTCGAATTGAACTGTTTATTTCGCTCACTGGGGTAGACTGTTCTAGTTCCACGTGCCATGTTTAATGGATGTTAGTTATCAGTTATTTCCTGTTAATTTCCCTCTATCCAGAATTTAATATACAGATGTTCTCAAGGACACATGGCACAGTGGATAAAGGCGTTAGTTAGATCATCTGATAAATGTCATCCATTAAACATGGCACGTGGAATTAGTCTACCCCAGTGAGCGAAATAAGGGTTCCAACCAACTCAAGAAGGCCGACGCGTACAACGGCCGAAACGTTGTAATAAATATGGCTCGCTAGTCAGATATGGGCTTTTGTTTTCTCTGTCCCTTTTGCACTCAATATGCCATGTGCGTGTTTAATTTTCCAATCCTCTTTCCTCATTTTATTCAAAAATTTAAATAGGACAGATGATAGTAGGATGCGCAAGATATGAACGGAGGCGATTTCACATAGCTTTTTTCTTTTATGTACCGTGTAATTTCAGGATGTAAGTGATCATTGTTCTCCACAACTTTCAATATATTGTACCTTTTAGAAACATTTTTATTTTCATCACCCCTCAATTCCCGTTATGTCATCATTTTACAAGCTCGTTAGATAGATTACTCACTGTTTTCTCTGTTCATGTTTCCTTCGATATGTCTTGTGAGTGTCAGATTCTCGAAGTCGTTCCTCAAATTTCTTTTGTCTCTTTTTTTATTCTAATTATTACGGTTTTTGTTTTTGTTTTCTTCATTTTTATTTAAAACTTTCGTTTTTCTCACGTGTTTAATCTATGTTATTCTCAGAAACCTTCTGTATATCCACATTTTTCTCTTGCTTCAATATCTTTCTTCATTTGTGAGGAGGTTGTCCATCATTCTTTGCTATATACTAGGACTGATTTTTCGATAACATTTAGGTACTCATATTTCCGACTGTTTGTAAGGCATCTTTAACTATTCCAACGCGCCTTCAGATTTTTGTGTTACATTTTGAGTCATGTGTTAAAACCCTTCTTTGTTATTTAAATTTTCGTGTTTGCCTGATTTTGAAATCTTTAATTCATAGATCGCATAACTTTCAAAAATCCAGCCTTTGTTTGATAGGTTGACCTACAGTGCCTGCTTCTTGATTGTCTTCTTAGTAGTCAACATGGAAATTAGAGTCGCGTCTCCTCCCTTGACGTCTTCCTCGCGTATGACACTTGATCTCATCTGTCTCTCATAGGAAGCCTGTTTACAACGTTGATCAAAATAAAATGAAATGTTTTTATTTTTCTAATTATTGTGCTGGCTGCATTTAAATTTATCCGCACATTCGAAAAAAGAGTCAAAATGCAGCGCACGGAAAACAGGCACTATTTGAAACATAGGGTTTCTTTTTTTTTTAAATAACAGACGTACATACCGTAGTTATTTGGTGAATGTTTGATTTTAAGACATGCCAACTCTTGTTGGATTAATTTTTCAGAGTTTATATGGAGCACCAAGTGATAATCAAACTCACTAATCAGTAATAATGGCAAGCAATCTTGCCTCAATAATAATTATCTTGTAGCGGAATTCCAAACGAACATCGGAGTTATCAATGATGATGTAGCATGTCTAGGCCTCTCACCACATTTATTTAATAGGGCCTCTCCAGGGACAAGGCAAATGTACCAATATATTTATTTAATTTTTGTTTGAAAAACAAACAAAAATCCTGATATAAAAGAAGAATTGTCGGGACAAGGTTTTAATAAACCATTTTCAAGACACAATTCATTGTACAAATTCAGTTCAATATGGCGAAAACGATATAGTCTTATATATATATATATATATATATATATATATATATTTTAAAATTCCTGTATTTCCAACTCTTGTAAAAACGAAAATGGATATAAATCAAGTGACAGAATGTAGAAATTTTGAAAAACAAACAAAAATCCATAAATGTAGTTAAAATGAAAGAATTGTCGACGTCAGACGTTTCGGTTTTAATAAACCATTTTCAAGACAAAATTCATTAAAAGACAAAATTCATTAAAATGCAAATTCAGTTCAATATCATCATTGTTGATTTTTTAAAAGATGTTTTAGACATGGAAGAGTTCTGCTGTCCAGAATACGTTATGAAAGAGGAAAACTATGTAAAGAAAGTAAAAGAAAAATATATAACGTTTCGGTTTTTTGAGTTTTCGTCATATTGAACTGAATTTGTATTTTAATGAATTTTTGTCTTGAAAATGGGAGAAGATGGAAGCATATACTTTCATTTTATATATAGAAAAACGTGGATTTATTTATATATATATATAAATAAATAAATACAGTCGAAGTCTCACTGGTGTTGGTCCTCTATATATATATATATATATATATATATATATATATATATGTATGTATTTGTTCTGTTAAAGAATATACACAAAAAAGAAGGTAGTCTCTCTTTGACATCAAATCTGGGAGATGTTTGTCTGTTATAAATGTTTTAGACAGTTCTGCTGTCCAAGAGGAAAACTATGTAAGTGTGAAAGAATATATAATTTGAGAGGAGTGAAAATCATATCTTCTGACGTGGATTCCAGTAGCAGTCATCTGGTGTTGTCCTCTTTTGGTTTATTGATACAAATTGGGAACCGGAAAAATCAATGCCTGATTGGTTGATTTTGGGAGACTTTTGGGAGCCAATTCTCCCAAAAGTGCACAAAATTTACTGTATGAAAATATAGCGATTTTAAAATTGTCCCTTCAGTTAGCAGCGTTGCTTTCTATCCAATGAATGAATGTAGTTAATTATTTTAATTTGCAAGGTGTGTGTGCGATGATGATGATCGCTATAACCTCATTACGTGTCACACAAACTTCTAGACACGCGCTGAGATGAAGACCAGCACTGATAGTTTTTTCAAGGAAATATTTCAAATTTCAAGTCGTCACTGAACAATCGCCAAAACCCCCTCAAAACTAAAAAAAAATGCTCTATAACTGTGAAACAAACCAAATTCAATTGAGAATACCCATAATTTGAGAAAGTCACTATCATTCAAAGATTCGTTTGGAATATTGAACGCGTTCTTTCTATTGCTGCCTTTGTTCCCAAATCATTTCGCTCAGGGATTGAAGTTCTTTTCTTCAGAAAATGATGGCGAACAAAAATCAATTGTAATTATAACATCCTGCACAATTACAGAATATAATAAATTAGTCGTCTCTTAAGGGACAAAACCAACGGCCATCAGAATGCTATATTACGAAAGTAGAAATGTCTGATTTGACAGTGATGACGTCATCGTAACCAATAATATCGATCCAGCTAACATGACCATCATAGATTTTCCTTCCCAAGCAAACAAGGTCATTGATATTGATAATAGCTATATGAATAAATGAAAGCGTTCGGTAAAAAAACAAAAATGCTTTAATGTTTCTTTATGAAATCATCATTGTTTTAAGATAACTTGTACAGGAATAGATCAGCATTTTTTTTAATTCCATTTCAGTGATCATTCCATTTCTGTGATCATTAGTTTTTCTGTGATTATTCCTTTTCTGGATTATTCCTCTACTGTGAACATGCCATTTCTGTGATCATACATTTATTGTGATCATTCCTTCAAATTCTGTGATCATTCATTTCTGTGATCATTAACTAATGAGTGTTTTACTGGTTAATAATGTAAAAATATCAGATAGAGTACATCTGGAAAAAGACAATATGAATAAGGTCAAATGAAAAACTTATCTTCGCCGGCGATAAAGTCCCTCAGAGGGTGACACGCGGACCTTTGTTCTTTTTGCCTTTTATATTATATATTTGTGACCTCGGGTTTCCCGCTATTTGCGATCGTCAGATCGTCAAAGATGTTAGCTCTATCACTGATATTGAGAGTTTTCCAATAGGTACCCGCGTATATATATATATATATATATATATATATATATATATATATATATATATATATATATATATATCCAGACAGTTTTTCAATAGGTACCTCCCGTATATATATATATATATATATATATATATATATATATATATATATATATGTGTGTGTGTATATATATATATATATATATATATATATATATATATATATATACCAATCTAATCTCTCTCTCTATCCATATCTATATATATAGTTAAACCTAGAGAGCCAGACAAACCTACCAAGGTTTCACCTAAGCGGATCGTCAGCCAGCCTTCGCATTGCGTACTGTACTGTACTGTACTACTCTACTGATGCGGCATTCACCCTGGGCGGATTGAGCCGGCTTCTTCCTGTTATGAGAAGAAGATTCTTGGGATAAATTACAGAAGTAGGGTACCCAGGCCTACTCGATAACGTTCTTGCTTGCCGCGGGGTTCCCACAGACGCAAAGACAGGAACGACCAGAAGCCGCCGGTTACCGATGCAGACGCTCCTTGGATTTTCACCAGAGCCCTTTTTAGCCGGCGTGTGTGTCAGACCTGTCCGCCTTGGGTGGCCCTACCAGGAACGAAGTTCCGGGCGGCATAGCTCTGACACTACCGTTTACACCCCCCACCGATTGTGAGGTAAGGGTTGGACTTTGAAAGTCCAACCCTTACCGTGCTTACGGTCAAATCACGCTGAAACACCTCATTCTCGTTCGATCACCGAAGTTAAGCATCGTAGAGCCAGGTCAGTACTTAGATGGGGGACCGCTTGGGAACACCTGGTACTGTAAGCCCCCCAAAAGTTACTTCGCATAGCGAACATGTTCTTGGTTATTTCTTTTTTTACCCCCTTTGGTGTTGGCTTGTTTATTTGCAATTCAATATACCGCAGGTTTTCCGAGCGAGTATAGTTTCTAATACTTAAAAGATTTCTATTAAATACATTTATATATATATATATATATATATATACCCACAAGTATAGGATTGGTGTAGACGAAATAAAATTCCAATAAACAAAAACAATATTATTAAAAAAGTGCTCAATACAGGGTAGAGTAAATATTATTTATTAAAAAATTATTACATATACAATTTATAAGTGAACATTGAAGTCAAAATTCAGAGGCGACAGACTGTTCATGTTAAACGCAATCATTAGGCCAGATGTGTTGCGTTTTTTCTTGATTATTTATATATACGGATGCATTGTGGGTAGTCTGTCCTAAGGGTTATTTTGGCGAGAGTGGTTTGTTAATTTGTTTATTATTTACTTTATTCAATCCACTATCTTTTAGGGTTGTTTCCTAGTCTTTCTTAGCTTCATTGCGAGAATTGTCCGAAAGTCTGCGGTTAACTGATTTTGGTATCTGCTTGATCATAGAAGGCGGGTGATTGGAAGATGTGTGTATATACAGTGGTTTATCACTGGGCTTCTGTATGGTTTATATGTAGCTTTTCTTTGGTTGAAGGTAACATCTAGAAAATCTACTTCGTTTAGTTTAGTTATTATGTCGATGTCGAATCCAAAATTTTTTAAAATCTTTATTATTGCTTTTCTAGTTTTCTCTGTGTTTTGTTTATAACATTTTCTTAACTTTATGAGACCATACTCCTTGTAGAACAGAGACTGAGGTCAACACCAAACTGTCACAGTCTGTTTCATGCTTGATCGCAATTTTAAGGCCATTCAGTATATTGGCCACTTTTGCCCATAATATAGCATATTTAAAATATATATTTTATCATATATATATATATATATATATATATATATATATATATATATATAAACCGCTCCTGATAAATTAACAGTTAGAAAGAACAAATAAAGATAATCAATCCAAATAAATACATGAAGTAATAAACAAATTAATAACTGCTCCCGCCAAAATAATAGTTAGAAGAAACTACATGTATCAACCTCAAAATTGAATAGCTTTAATTAAATTCTCAAACTAAAACAAAACTATTAAATAAGCGATATTAACAAATTATACAAATATATATATATATATATATATATATATATATATATATATATATATATATGGAAAGAGTGATAGACAGATAGACATGCAGATAGAGAGTGAGTGGAAGCGGAGGAGAGTGGGTAAATGAGAAAGGAAACAAACAAATAGGGGATTAAATACATTTACTAAACATACAGACACCTTTTTCTGATAAAAGGTAAGTATGAAAACTGAAATAGGAAGAGTATGTTACGCCAATATTCAAAGGGAGAGGCTCCTTCTTGTGTTTTTAATCAAAACTTCTAATATTCATACAAGTTGAAACAAGTTTTCGAAGTCTTTTATAACATATTTCCGACATTCGTGGTTGCTACCCTTAAATAAGCAACTGTTTCAATAAACAGTCCAAACTTTATCATTAGCAGTAGTAATAATAATAGTGATAATTAAAGAAGGTAAAAAATTCGAAAGTGAATCTAACATCGCATCATTGATCGTTTGTAAACATTATGAAGGTGCAATCGATTAAGAACGCCATTTTGCTTTTGTTGGTCTAAGTGAGCTGATAACTAACAATATCCGTTGGTTAATGAACGAAGAAACATCCATATTGTTACCTTGACAACATATCTCGAGGCATATCCAGGTAGAACAATGAACATGAATGGGTAAATAAGAAACCTTTACATGGAGAAGGAAGAAAAACTGACATAAATACGAATATATTCTTTAACAAACCATAGAAAGAACTGAGTAAATACTGTCTGAAAAGATCAGTGTGTACAACTCCATTTTAGTACGGTCGTTTCGGGGAATATATTTGGCTAACTTTTCTACATCATTGTATATACCTGACTTTCTTTATTTGCGCTGAAGATCTAAAAAAAAAAATTGGTTGATTTTATAAGGCATTTCTAGAGTGACATTGAGTTACTGGTGACCTCAAAACTATGTCTGACTCCAGAGTTGAAGGATATCTAGGAGAAAATACACTTGTTGTTTTTATATCCCCTAGCTAAATATATACACGTTAGATATTTGACTCCTATCAATTTGACAAAAATATAAATATACATATACTAGCAGTAGAGCCCGGCGTTACCCGGGTATATAACAGTAAGAGATAGTTCAAGTATTGACCATCATAAAGACTGAAAAATAAAATTAACAAAGATTATTGTTTAAGGTTGACGGACACGCATGTCTTAATTATTTTTTTGTTTTTTTGTTTGTTTTTTTTTGTTGTTTTTTTTTTACTAATTGGTCAAACTCAAACTCAAACAAAAACACTGTTTTCAATCGTTATGAGTCTACCAATTGAATAGAATTTTATTATAAACGATTGTCTTGTAAATGGAATTTTTAAAGCATTCTGAATGTAAAAATAAAGAAAAAAAGTGTGCAAGACAATAACAAACACCTCCTGCCAAAAAAAGTAGTGAGGAGTTCTACTAGTTTTAAGATAGAGAAAATCAGAAAAATTATATTTAGTGAATTTAAAAATCTAAACTTAAAGATAACTGTCTCTTCTAATTTGAAAAGGGTAAACTTCCTCGACGTAACTCTAGACTTACCATGCAACACATACCAACCTTATACTAAACCAAATGCTAACCCCTTATATATACACCCGAAGTCAAACCACCCTCCATCCATAATTAAACATATAGCCTCATCAATAGAAAACAGAATTAGCATTAACTCCGCTAACAAAGAAATATTCCAACAACACAATGGCTTCTATAACGCTGCCCTAAAAAATAGTGGTTATAAAAATGCAAACATTAACTATAGAGACAATTGCACTGGCCAAAAGAAAAAAAAAACGGAAAAGAAAAATCATTTGGTATACTCCTCCGTTCAACCAAATGGTTAGTATTAAACTAGGACAGATATTCTTAGCTCTAATTGATAAACACTTCCCCACCAATAGTAGGCTTAGTAATATATTTAATAAGAACACCCTAAAATTGAGTTACAGCTGCACTGAAAATATAGAAGTTATAATAAAAAAACACAATAATAAAATCTTGAACAAACCCCCATGCCTGAATAGTATTAATAAGAACCCTACACTTAAATCAGACAATAACTGTGAAAAATTATGTGATTGTAGAAACCCAGGAGACTGCCCATTAGAAAATAAATGCTGCATCAAATCTGTGGTATACCAATGTACTATATCATCCATTGAGAGTGCTAATACTAATATGATATACATTGGGTCCACGAAGAATGATTTTAAAGATAGATGGAGGCAGCACAAGTGCTCTTTCAACAATATAAATAAAAGAAATCAGACTTCCCTATCTAAATATTTTTGGCATCTGAAGGAAATAAATAGGACACCTAAAGTAAAATAGAAAATTATAAACAGGACTAGAACTTGTAAAGCTTGGGATGACCCATGCCCTTTGTGCCTCCATGAGAAACTGCACCTTATTAAGTTTCTAAATAATAAAAATCTATTAAACAATAGTCATGAGTTAACGGTTTTTTGCCGACATCATCAAATTTATGCACTGAATAATTAGCTAAAAACAAGCATGCAATATAATAACTTTTATAATCCATAGCCCAAATAAATAGTTTAAATATCCTACAAAAAATATAACCCTTTATGAAGTCGTCTAAAAACATGTTACGGCAGTTTTTATATGCACAAATCCCTTTTGATAAAGAAATAAAATAAAAAAAATATCTCCATAGACACGTAAACCAGACTAGGCGAAAACATCTTCCGTTTCAAATTTAGACACCCCCACCTTACCCTGACTTGACATCTATGAAAGTAACTCTATACTGATAATTATTATTAACACCCAACACACCCCTAACTTTTTAAAACAATTCGCCCTGACAGTTACCATGGAAATTTTGATTTCAATTATGAATATACTATTAAAACACGTAATTTTCAGAAATGAGTTATTCAAAAAAAAAAGGTCGCTTGAAGATGGAACAGAGCTTACTTTAATTCAATTTAATTCAAATAATTATATTGAAGTTTTCGGCTCTTGTTTTGAAACATGAGACCTCTTATTTCGCGAGTTGGAATCATATTTTTAAATAAATAATTATATTTATGCTCTACTTTTGTATCGATCACTATTTTTAAAAAATAATAAGAAAAATACTAAGGAACTTTGGATTATTTACCTAACCAGTTCTTTCCTATTTTCTATATATTTTCACAAATATATATATATATATATATATATATATATATATATATATATATATATTAGAGTGTGCAGATTATATATCATAAAAAAGCAATTTATACAAAAGAATTAATTAGCAATGTTAATGTGATTAATCTCGAAATCACTTGGCTAAAAAGACTTAATGAGACATTAACTTACTATCAATTCCTTGAATAATACAGTCCTTATATTGAGTTAATGTCTCATTAAATCTTGTTAGCGAAATGATTTTGCCATTAATCACATTAACATTGCTAATTAATTCTTTGTATAAATTGGTTTTTATGATATATAAAGGGAGACAAATTATATAGAGAGAAACATAGAAACCTAGAGAGAAAAAATAACAATTCTTCATAGGCTGACCGTGTCAAGGGTGACAATAGATGCGAACTTTTATTGCGTGGTAGGCAGTTATAGGAATGTGGTCTGTTCAACTTCTCATTCACCCATCTTTTTCTCTATCAACTTTATGCATGTATGCATTCATATGTACATTATTCGGACTATTGTCCTCATCTTTGTCGGCATATTTATTACAACATTTCGGCCGTTGTACGCTCCGGCCGTCTTCAGGTGGTTGGAATGTCAAACTGAACCCTTTATTTCACTC